TTTTATTAAATATATATCTAAAAATTAAATTAAGTTTAAGCTTTATTAACCGTAATAAAAAAATATATTTGAACTTTAATACGTTTTTTTATTTAAAATTATAGTCGTGATTTAATTTAAGTATAATTAATTAAATAAAAGCGATATTGTTAATATTTAAATAAGCGAATAAGGTATTAATAATATCGGTTTCGATTATAATAAACCTTTTATTTATATTTTTTAAAAATTATATATGATTTTTTTTTTATTTAATTTTGCCGATTTTAATTTTAAAGCGTATAATTAATAAATTAAAGGTTATTTAAATTTTAATAAATATTAATAATATAATATTCTTATTATATATATAAATATAAATTATATTAAAATATATGTTTCAATATTCCGGTTTATATATAAAGTTTACTTAAAATATAATCGATACGTTAATATTAAAAATAATAAAAGGTATTATATTTATAAACTTTAATAATAAAAATAAGTTATAATTTACTTTTTAAAAGTCGAATTCACTTATTAAAAAGTTTAGTTTAAAGGTTTAAACTTAATAAAATAATGGATTTAGAAAAGATTTTCGAAATTTATTAAGCGTAAGTAAAATATTAAATTCGAGTAAAATATTAAGATTAAGTTAAATAAAATTATCGGATAAAGGAAGAGAATTAATTTTAATAAACTTATCGGAATAAAGAAGTTTAATAAAATTGGGTATATTATCGAAATTAAGGGGAGTATAAATTTCGATAAGCTTTTCGGAATGGAATGGATTAAAAATGTTAATATTAAAATTAAAAGGAATATATAAAAATTATATATTTAAAGGATAAATATAAGAATAATTTTATATTATAAATGGTAATAATAAATAAGTTAATCCGGTTTAAATATAATTATTATAAAGCTTTTTTATTAAAAAGTTTTTATATTTATTATTATATTTCTTTTTAAGTTAAATAAAGGTTATATTTTAAAAGAAGGTATTATATTTAAAGTTATTATTTTAAATCATAAAAGTAAAATATCTAAATAATTTAAGTCGGGTTTAAGGTTTTATAATTAAATCATTTATAAAAGGTAATAAAGTTGGTAAAAATATCCTTAAGTAATAACGTTAAAAAATTATACTTTTTTTTATCGGTTATAAATATTTTTTAACTTAAATAATAAATTATTAATTAACTTTTATACGAAAATACTTAACGTATATAAATATTAACCATTAAACTAAAAATATTTTTATTAAGATTAAAAAATAAGCCGGTATAATATAATGGTTATAAATAAAATTATTCGAATAAATGTTATAATATTAATATAAGGGATTATATCTTATTTTTTAACCATTTAAATGTATTTTTATAATAATAACGTGGTATTTAATAAGTTATAATAATTTTAATTATATTATATATATTTCTTTATAATATATTAAGTATAATAATGGAAAAATAATAATCTTATATTATAAATCTTTTTAAATTTAAAATATATTATTTTTATAAATATGTTATTATAAAGATAATGATGGGAAAATAATAATCTTAAGTTATAAATCCTTCCAAATATAAAAATAAACGTATTTAAACCGTTAAAGTAAACGTAAATATATTTATAAATAAACTTTAAACTTTATAAAGAAATGTAATTATATTTGTAAATAAGCTTTAAACGTGGTGAATAAATATAATTATATTTATAAATAAGCTTTAAATATATGTAATTACGCTTATAAATAAACCTCGAACGTATATAATTATATTTATAAATAAACCTTAAATATATATAATTATGTTTATAAATAAACTTTAAATATATACATTTACATTTATAAATAAACTTTAAACATGATAAATAAGTATAATTATATTTATAAATAAATCTTAAATATATACATTTACATTTATAAATAAACCTTAAATATAATAAGTTAATAAATAATAAGAATTATATTATGAATTTTACATTTTAATATTTATAAAATTATTATTATAATTATTATTATGGTTTTTATTACCCATTAATTTATCATTATTAATATACTTCATAATATTTACTTTATTCCTCTATTTAATAAAGAAAAATAAACATTTCATCATATAAAAATATAGTTTAAATGGTTAAATTAATATTTATATAATTAATATAATTTGTTAATCCCGAAGATAATATAAGAAATTACTTAAAAAACTTATCTTTACGTTATTATTTTATCATTTTTTAAATATAATGTTATCATTCTTTTATTAAACTTATATCTTTACCGGAAGTTAATAAAAAATAACCGGTAACTTAATAATAATAAATTATTTTCTTTAAATAACTGCCGATAAAATCGTTAACTTTTAAACTTTTATATTTATTTTAAACATATTAATATTTACTTAAAAAATTTTCTTACTTTATATATATAAATTTATAATTATTTATATATTAATAAGTGATGATATAAATAATATATAAGCGGATATAGTTTATAATAAATATATATAATTTTTCTTATAATAATAACTTAGAATATAAACTCGATAAGTAATATTTATACTTATTATTATTATAATAATAATAAAAAACGTTATTTATTAATAAGTTTATATATATATTTATATATTAAAAGATAAATTAATTAATATTTTAGCTTTAACTTTAACTTTAGCTTTAGTTTTAATTTTAACTCCGGTTTTAATTTTAATATCCATTATTTATATCGATTTAAAAATTATTAATTATATAAAAAAATATAAGACTTTTTCGGATATTAAATTAAATAAAATTAAAAGTATTTTAAAAAAGAGGTTAATAATTATATATACTTTAAAAAAGAAGCGAAATAAAGTTATAACAATTTCTTTATTAATTAAATTAAGAAAAGAAAATAATGAAGTTATTAATAATAAATAAAAAGCCTTAATAAATAAGTTATAAAAAGTTTTTAAATTATAAATAAAGTATTAATAATAAATATATTAATCATTTACTTATCTTTATATATTAATATATTATATCTTTATTTTACTTTTTATTTAAAAGTTATTTATTTAAAACATTATAAAAAAGTATATAATTATTATCTTAAGCTTACCTTTTATTATATCTTAAAATAAATAATTTAAAAATATCATTATTTAATTTTAAAAATAAATAATTAAGATTTATAAATAAAGGTATTTATTAACCGATTTAATTTTTTAAATTTTATAATAATATTTTTAAATCTTTTTTAATTTAAAGATATCTTTTTCTTTAATATTTTTATTTTTAACTTCCTTAATATATTTATTCTCGATATCTTTAATATATTTATTTTTAATTTCTTTAATATATTTATTTTTAATTTTCTTAATATATTTATTCTTAATATCTTTAATATATTCATTTTTAACTTTTTTAATATATTTATTTTTAATATTTTTAATATATTCGTTCTTAATTTCTTTAATATATTTATTCTTAACGTTTTTAATATATTCATTCTTAACTTGTTAAAATATTTATAAATCATTTTTATATACCATTAATATCATTAAAATATATATTATTAAAATCCTTAAAATGAATATTATAACAATAATTTACTACCTTATAATATAATAAATATCGTTAAAAAATAAATTAAAACAATAAATCATTATTTTATAATATAACATATATCCACCATAACTTATTATATTAAAAGTTAATTATTATTATATAATATAACGTATATTTATTATAATATTATATCTTAATAACCGGTCATTATTTTAAAATATTAAAATATATTATAATAACTTATAACCTTTAATAACCTTTAATAATCTTTAATAAAAAACCTTTTAAAAACCTTTAATAACTTTTAATAACCCTTAATAAAAAACTTTTTAAAAACTTTTAATAACTTTTAATAACCTTTAATAAAAAACTTTTAAAAACCTTTAATAACCTTTAATAACCCTTAATAAGAAACCTTTTAAAAATCCTTAATAACTTTTAATAACCTTTAATAAGAAATTTTTAAAAGCTTTTAATAACCTTTAATAACCTTTAATAAAAAGTTTTTTAAAAGCCTTTAATAATTTTAACTTTTTTATAATTTAAAAGAAAATAAAATTATTTAATAAATTATTTAACTTAAATATTAAGTACCTTTCTTATATATTTATTAAATTCATTAAAGTTTAAAATTTAATATAAAAGTTTTAATATAATAAACTTTTTTCTAATAAATTTATTTTATATAAGAATTTTTAAAAATCGATTTATAAATATATAAATAAACTTTAATTCCATACTTTTTTCTCATATTTAAAAAGAATTTTAAAAAGGAAAAATAAATAATTAAAAAAGCTTTAATATAAAAAATTATTCATTTATTTAAAATAAATTAAGTTATATTAAAATAATCACGATTATTTAAATAATTAAAATTATTAAATAACTTTTTAAAATTAATATAATAAAATTATTAAGGAAATATTTTATTTCGCCACCTTTTATACTTAAATAAAAGTTTTATAAACTATTATAATGAAATTATTAAAAAAATATTTTACTTTATTATTTTTTAAAATTTACCTTAAAATAAATTTATTAAATAAAATAAAATATTTTATATTTATTTTTTAAAATTATAAAAATATGTAATAATATTTATATTTATTAAAGATTATTATTATTCCGGAAGTACTTTAATATAAATCCTTAATTTTGCTTGATTCCTTAATTAATACGTAACGTCTACTAGAAATGGGCGCGTCGAGTTATGCGAAGATAGCGATAATACCTGCTATGAAAGATTATATATGCGTGCCTATTAACCCGATGCTTCTGATCTACTTGAGCGATATCGATTGAAGTTGAATGTAATCGACTTTTCTTCGCCAGTTATCGGTCGCTTCATTCCCCTCATTTTTTTTTCTGTGGCCTTCTTTTCCTCCTAGTTTTCTCAAGCTAGTCACCCCGTCCGGTCTACTTGGTTCACGATAGCCACACCGGCTCCTCCATCAACCACTACGAGAAACGGTGAGATGGCCGAGTTGGTTATGGCGTGAGGTTAAGGTGATCACCCTTAGCATTTAGCATTTGATGCATCTAGCATTCAATTCCTCATGGAGCAATCCGCGTGGGTTCAAGTCCCACTCTCATCATTCACATCGAGATGTTCCTTATGCGTTCATTTCTCTTTTTTTTTTTTATAACTTTTTTACAATAAACCTTCGGGGCGGCCTATTTAGAGTTAAAATAAGCTCAAGGTTTTTCTATTGATGGGTGAATGATTGGTGAAGAATGATGCTATTCAAACCTACCTCTAGGTGCCTACAGGGATATTTTGGATGCGGGTTCGCGGGTTCTTTCTCCTTTGCGCGCCTGCAATTCGTCTTCGGGGAATGTTCCTGCGCACGAGAACCCTAGTGGGGTCGGCAAGTCCCTAGATCCCCCCTAGATCCCCTGCAAGGGGTGTCCGGCAGGTGGGTTTTGGAGGCTATGATCTAGGTCATCTGCAGGGTTAGTGGCAGCTGATAGTGATAGATAGGTAAGGTATCTTATCTGGGATTACTTAGCCGGTGCGATTCCGGCAGGTAGCTATCTCCTAGTATGTTGACTTCATCCCCAACCTCTTCCCCAGTTCTTCGGGCCACCTTTCTACTCTCCTGACTCTTCTATTTAAGTGACAATCTGCGCCCGGTTATACTCCATCATCTAATCGACTACGAGTTCGAGAATGACGCGACACACGTCTGATTTCCTGCGCCAACGCAGCTCCAACCTATCTCTCCGAAGCGCAGCAGCGGTGAACACTGTAACCATGTCTCGATTGTCAAGCTTCGCCAACCCTTCCGAGTTTGAAAATGGACGGGCTATATCCGACGCCGAAAAGGCCTTTATCGTAGGCGACTTGGCTCATTCTACCGAACTGTTGAGCCTTTGCGATTCTTGCAGACGAGACATACCCGACTACCGTATCGGTTTACGTCCCCTTACGGTTACGGAAGACCGAGCTTCATGTTCCGTGTGCAATGTCATGTCATCCAAACCCGAGGCCTTCACCGAGCCCTTCTGCAGATTCCTGCAGGAGAACCCGACCGTATTCCACGCCGTCGGCTATTTCAAGGATAAAATGATATCGCTTGGCTTTAAGGAGGTTGGTGTTCTTCGTTGCTACTCTCGGGATGGTTGAGCTAACCATCGCCCTAAGCTTCCCGCACGGGACGATTGGTCTGGCAAACTCGAGGCCGGTGGCAAGTATTTCGTGACCCGAAACGGCACCTCCGTCATCGCTTTCACGGTCGGAAAGGCGTATAAACCCGGCAACGGCGTGGCCATGGTCGCAGGTCACATTGACGCCTTAACAGCGAGACTCAAGCCCATTAGTAACAAACCGACCAAACACGGATATATCCAGCTAGGCGTCGCACCTTATGCGGGTGGTCTGAATGAAACATGGTGGGACCGAGATCTTAGTATTGGCGGCAGAGTCATTGTGCGGGATGAGTCTGGCAAGACTTCAAGCAAGCTCGTAAAGCTTGACTGGCCTAGTAAGCATGTCGCAAGCGGAAATGATTATCCCGGCTAATTGGATACAGTTGCTCGTATACCGACGCTCGCGCCCCATTTCGGAGTCGGCATGATGGGCCAGAACAACAAGGAGACCGAGGCGGTGCCAATTATCGGACTTGACAACTCTGACATTTTGTCCTCGGATGCTAAGCCTGTTGAGCCCCTTGGTGCTCCTGGATCATTCGTTTTCACTCAGCCGCCGAGGCTCGTCCAATTAATCTCGAAGCAACTAGGCATCAACGACTATTCGCAAATCGTGAATTGGGAACTAGAGCTCTTTGATCTTCAACCTGCGACCGTGGGTGGAATGGACAAGGAATTTATCTTTGCTGGCCGGATCGACGACAAGCTGTGCAGCTGGGCCGCGTTCCAAGGACTTCTAGCTTCGGAGACGAACGATGACGATGGAGTTATAAAACTGGTTGCGCTTTTTGACGATGAGGAGATTGGCTCTCTACTTCGCCAGGGTGCGAGGGGTAATTTCTTACCATCCACTATCGAGAGAGCGGTTGAGGCGCTATGCGGGGAGGGTAAGGCATTTGGCCCCGGTGTCGTAGGCCAGACTTACGCGCGATCGTTCCTTGTATCGGCGGATGTTACACACGCAGTAAACCCGAACTTCCTTGGCCGCTATCTAGAAGACCACGCGCCCCGTCTCAACGTTGGAATTTCCATCGCTGCAGACAGCAATGGTCACATGACTACGGATGCGGTATCTACAGCCATTCTTACCAGAATTTGCGAGTTAAGCGACTGCACGCCGCAGGTTTTCCAGATCCGAAACGACTCCCGAAGCGGTGGTACAGTCGGGCCCATGCTGAGCAGTGCCATGGGTGTCAGGGCTGCTGACGCGGGAATGGCCCAGCTCAGCATGCATTCAGTTCGTGCTACGTGCGGATCTCTTGACCCCGGCTTGGGCGTCAAATTCTTCAAGGGGTTCCTTGATAGATGGGAGGCGGTCGACGCCGAGTGGCAATGAAATTGACCGGTTCTCAAGTTCATTATCGTTAGAGTGTACAAATATGCATGTCAACATCCGTCCGGTTGACCTCAGCGAGCATATTGATTAGGTGTTTAGGTTGCTAGAATCCGATTATTTAGGGCAAATAATTTCTCGATGGAAATAGAAACATGCAACTCTCATTGCATTTAGATTGAATATATGTTTATAAGATACTTATTTTGTGATGGTGTACCTAACGTAAGCTATGTCTGGGGGATTATCGCCGCCTGCAGGAACTGGGAAGCCATTCAGCGGGTTCCCTTCACATGCAAATGCAGAATGATGCAATCAAGGGTCTGCATGGGGGGCAACTGAGTTTCGATGGTGCGCTACGTACAACTTAGCTCGGGTGTACACTTAGTTTTCGGAGACCATTTTCGAATAAGGGGCACGCGACTGTCGTGTGATCAATATTAATTCGAAATGTGTAAATCATGAAAGTATTTACTTGCTGACGCACAACCCAATCAGACTCAATAATAGCTACGAGGAGATGGAAGGGTATAGATTAGGAGGGATTCGCAACTAAAAATGATGACGTGTTTCGGAGCTAAAGCAGCTGAAGGTCAAAGAATTGTGAGGCGCCATTGGCTCGTTACTTATTTTCTTTAGCTTCAATATACCAGCCCGTGCCCGTCACGATAATGGCTTCCGATACTTCCTGACGCTCGCTTAGCTACTCCTATTCTTCGTGTTTCTGAAATCTGCATACTTCATACATTGTTTTAATAAGGCAAACATTTGCCCATCTTGTGAAACATTCTCACGGTTTCTAATTAGACCTTCCTTCGTTTCTTGTACACCTGCGGAAGCAACCTTGGGGCCAAGCGACGAGGCTGTGTTCGGTGAACTAATTATTTTCCCCCTTCTCTAGCACCAGCAAACTTTTCGGTTTATTCTTTCATCTCAAGGACGCATTTTTGGAAAATACACTTTTTCGTACGGATTTACCCATCATAGATCTCTAAGGTTCTCAAGCCACTCGTTCCCACGGTACCGACAACGCGGATCGTTGACCCGGCAGACTCGGCTCTGACCTTCAAGTTACGGAACATCCCACCAACGTACCAACAAAGAGAATACTGAACACCAGTGACGACCCATGGCGCAGCCGGCAAATCCGTCGAGCGCCGCCAAATTAATCGCTCTGCTCGCGCGATTCAACCCCGTCCCGGGCTTCGCAGACTACACCGGACCCTACAAAGTCGGCACCGTCGATGTCGAGATCCCCGTCTCGGAGCTCGAGTCTCCAGCCCCGGCACCGTCCAACGCCGCCGATATTGAGACAATACAGTTCCGAATATTCTATCCCGCGCCCCCGGATGCTCAGGGGAAGCGCATAACGTGGCTGCCGGCCCCGCAGCGGGAGCATCTGTCTGCCTACGTCCAGTTCTTGGGGATTGGGCAAATGCTGGCTAGTGCCGCTTCGTAAGTCGACTCCCATGGCGAAAATAGCTCTTGATAGATTATATTGCTCGTACTAATACTTATATATAGCTTTCTACCGAGACACTTACACTACACATCGATACCCGTCATTAAGAATGCGCCGGTACTCGAACCGAATACCCCGAACAAGCGATGGCCTACTGCTATCTTCTCGCACGGTCTAGGTGGTAGCAGGAACGCATACTCGCAGATAGCCGGGACTCTAGCATCTCACGGCGTGGTAGTCATATGTCCGGAGCATAGAGATGGAAGTGCCGTTGCGTCATTCATTCGTATTCCTTCACAGCAGCACCGTTACTTCGTGCGTAACACGCGACGCATGGTCCCGTACAGCCGCATCCAGCACGACCCCTCGGACGAGGTATACGCCCTACGCAATGACCAGCTGCGCATACGGCTTTGGGAGATGGGCCTGGTACACGAGGCCGTTCTTGGGATCGACAAGGGCGTGAATCTGACGAACCTGAACAAGACCACGCCGTCTCTCGCTCATTTCGTGGGCAAACTACACGTCCACGAGCCGGGCAGCATTATCTTTGCCGGCCACAGCTTTGGCTCTGCTACTGTGGTTCAGTTCCTCAAGACCGTCTTTTACGCCGGTCGCCCCGAGCTCGAGAACATGGAGGACCAGCTGTATGCGCCATCTCGCGATTCTTCAATCTACCGACAGGTCACGCCGCGCAACGTCACCATCCTCCTCGATATGTGGTGCTTCCCGCTCCTATCCCCGACGACCAAGCCGCTCCACGATCTCCCCCTCCCCATCTACGCCGAACCGCACCCTCCCCCATCCTCCTCTTCCTCTTCATCACACTCAGATCCATCAAACCCACACAACCCCCACCCCTCCCCGCCAACGCCCGGCGGCAACGCGCTCCTCGCGATCGAGTCCTCGGACTTCTTCAACTGGAAAGAGCACCTGCACGCGACAGCGCGTGTGCTGTCGCCGGACCCGTCGGCGCCGAGGGTGCAGGCGGCCGCCTTCTACGAGGACATCGCGTCGGGCGTCAAGCTGCGCGAGCCGCACTTCTTCTACGTCGACCGCTCCGCCCACCTGTCCCAGTCCGACTTCGGCGTCCTGTTCCCCTGGCTCATGTACCGCATCTACAAGTCCGAGGAGCCCGAGCGCGCGCTCAG